TTTGGCAAACCCAACATCATACAAATTCTCCTCCTATGTTTTTCTTCTAGAAGTTCTATAATTTTGGATTTTGTGTTTATGTACTTCAAATTAATTTTTGCATAAAATGTAAATTAGAACTTAGCCATATTTCTTTTCATTGTAAAAGTAGAAGCATGCCTCTTAAAGCTTATTATATCCAATATGAAAGGAGAAGGCTACTAAATTGGTTTTTTGGTAAAATGGTAAATGTCGTTTCCTAAATAAAAATGTTACTTATATTAGTGGGCAACAGGTAAAATATTGTTATATTTAAATAAATAATTTTGAATTACTCATTTTAAATTTCTAATATGACTCCTACCTTCTTCCAAGTTGAAGTAACAGGGACATATATAATCCCTTACATATTGAAGTTAAAAAAAAAAAAAAGACAAAACATATGAAGCAATGGTTCTAGATGCTGGACACCAGGTAGCACAGGACTGTGATGTTAAGACAGGGGAAACAAAGTGAGTCAGTCATACAGTTGCTTTCTCCTACTTTCTGGAGAGAGTCTCTAATTCTCAATAGAGAGAAGGAGAAATCTATGTGAAGCCCAGCCATCTTTCTGAGTAGTGAGAATAGAGCTGGAAGTTCAGGAATACCTAAACAACCAGAGTTCACAGGGATGTGTATGGAGGAAAGAGAACCACATGGAGACAGGGTATCAGAAATGTGCAGACAACCCCTGTAGCCTTCCACTGAATATTGGTGGATTCATACTGCATGCATAAAAGAAAACTACGCAACACTGAGAAAGAACCCCTTCAAAGAAACATTCAGAACAATCCAGAGGGCTCACACCTCGCCAAGAATATTTTGTGTTCCCATGAGTCACAGTGAAAAAAAAGAAAAACTGTAATATCTAAAGCAGTGGGTAGGGTCATCTTTGGCACTGGGGCAAAATTAGCTCTATTGCAAAAGTCACATTGGTCCCACCTAACAAAAATGAAGTGCAGCTCAATGGAGTCAAAGTATTTACCAACAATTTAACTATATCTCAGGATAAAATTCAAAAATATTGTAAAGTATTTCAGAACATCCAAAACTCAGCAAGGTAAACTTTGCAATGTCTGCATCCAATCAAAAATCACTAGGCATGAAATGAAGCAGAAGAATATGACTCATGTTGAGGATGATGGCATATTTCTCATAAAAAAAAAATACTGCAACTTAGAGTTCTATACTGAGAAAAAAATATATTTTAAAATGAAGGTAAAACTAAAGAAATTTTCAGATGTTAAAAAATTGAAAATATTTATTATCAGCATAGCTGCAAAGCAGGAAATGATAAAGTTCTTCCGAGTAAAGGGAAAATAAATATGAAAATAAGTATGTACATGGAGGAAAGAAGAGCCATAGCAATAGTAAGCATGTGGGTAGATTTAAAATATAATTTTTGAGATATTAATATTAGTTTAAATTAAATTTGGTAGCAGTGTATGATGGGATTTGTAACATAATACAAAGTTAAAATGCATGACATCAATAGGACACTGAGAGAAATGGATGCAGACAGATTAAGGTTCTCTAATGTACTTGAATTTATATAACATACTTGAAGATAGACACACACTATAAATAGTAAAGCAACAGCTGGGGTCAGGGAGCTAGTGTATGCATTTTCTATCATAACTGTAACAAATTACCACAAACAGTGATTTATTTTCTTGGGGCTGGGTTTGTGGCTCACTGGTAGAGAGCTTGCCTAGCATGTGTGAGGCACTGGGCTCGATTCTCAGCACTGCATATAAATAAATGAATAAAATAATGGCCCACACATTTAAAAATAAACAAATAAATTTATTATCTTCGAGCCCTGGAGGGCAGAAATCTGAAATGAGTCCTCAGAGACTCATTTCTTCCGGAGAATTTCATTTCCTTGAATTTCTACTTCCTTAGCCAGTGTCCCTTCCTCCATTTTCAAAGCCAGAAATGTAGCATATCATCTCCTCTCTCATCTTCTGCCTCCCTCTTACATGGTCTCTCCTGTTGCTTCAGACTTATCAAATCATCTGATGTAATCTCTCCATCTCAAGATGCTTAGCCATACTTGTGAAGTCCATTTTGCCATGAAAGCAACATTCACAGGAAATGAGGGTTAGGATGTGGATATCTTTGGAAGCGATTATGTAGCCTACTACAGCTAATAAAGCAACAAAATGAATAAAATTGAATAATAACAAATAATCCATTAACCCAAAAGAAGGCAGATAGAGGGAAACAAGCAAAAAAAAAGAATAGATGGGGAAAATAGCAGACAATACTAGATGGTAGAGAAAAACCTGAGATATGAAAAATTGTGACATATATGTGTAATAAGAATTGTAATGCATTCCGCAGTCATTTATTTTTAAAAAATCAATTAAAAATTTTTAAAAAATAAAAAAAGTATTAAGTGTAAACACTCTATTTAAAAGGCAGAATATTTTCAGACTAGATTTTATAAAGCAAAATGCAATTATATGTCACTTATAAGTGTCCTTTTTAAATACAAAAACAAATAGTTTCAAAGTAAAAGGATAGAAAAGACAAAACCATGTTAATACTAATCATAAAAAAGCATTATCATTTCTTTTTTTTAAGAGACAGAGAGAATTTTTTAATATTTATTTTTCAGTTTTCGGTGGACACAACATCTTTATCTTATTTTTATGTGGTGCTGAGGATCGAACCCAGCGCCCCATGCATGGCAGGTGAGCGCGTTACTGCTTGAGCCACATTCCCCGCCCAAGCATTATCATTTCATTATGATAAAGGGGAGGGAGTAGAGCCCTTGAAATAATATAATAACTAAATTTTTATGTAATTAATATAGGGTTCAAAATATATGAAGCAAAACAAAATCTGTTAAAACTAAAAAGAGAAATAGACTAACCCACAAATCTCTGTCTATAATTGTGGGTTAGTCTATTATTCAATAATTGTATTTGATAAAACAAATATTAAGTCAAAAAAGGATTGAGATAGTACTAAACACCTTGTCCTAATTAACATTTATGAAACACTAACTAACAGCATCAAAATACACATTGTTTATAATAAGTAAAGAACACATACAAAAATATACCACTTTCTGGGGCATAAAATGCATTTCAATAAAATTAGAAGGGCTGAAATCATGTGAAGTATTTTATTTGACAATAATAAATTAAACTATAAAATAATTATAGAAAAGTACTTGGGGAAATATTTTTAAATATTTGGAAACCAAGTAACGCATCTTAAAATAATTTCTTGGTCAAAGAAGAAATCACAAGGGACATTACGAACTATTTTAAATTCTTTAAAAATGAAAAAAACTTCATACCAAATTACATATGATTCAGTGATAAGATACAATAGAGAGTATAGACCTAAAGGCTCCAATTAGGAAAGAAGAAAAGTCTCAAATTAATGACCTAACATTCTACTCCTCTTCCTACTACTACAGTAATAATAATAATAATAATAATAATAATAATAATAATAATAATAATAATAAATTAAACTGAAACTTAGATGGTAGCACAAACCACGACATTGGAAACAGAAAAAATATAACAGGATATCAGTAAAACTGAGAATTGATTTTTCAACAAGATTAACAAAACTGATAGTCAGACTGATAAAGAAAGAAAAGAGAAAGCCCAAATTTTCATTATCAGAGAAAGAATATCATTATTAATACTACAGACTTAAAAATATAAGGCCCTATTGAATAATTTTATCTCAAAATATTTAGCAAATGATTGTGGTGCACCTGGATTTCCATATGTACATAAAAATGACCTTCCATTTTCACCTTGTATTCTATGCTAAAATTAACTAAAAATAGATCATAGACTTAAATATGAAAGTTAAAAAGGTAAAAATTGAACTTGGGGGCATTCAACCACTGAACCACATCCCCAGCCCAATTTTGTATTTTTATGAATTGCTTAGTGCCTCTCTAAGTTGCTGAGGCTGGCTTTGAACTCGGGATCCTCCTGTCTCAGCCTCCTGAGCCGCTGGGATTACAGGCATGCACCACCGCACCCAGACAAAAGGTAAATTTTATCTATATAAAATCTTACATTAATTTGAAAATAGAGAAATCAAAAATTCTAATGTGACAAATATTAATAGTTAGAACACACATAAAAGTTCTTAGTGGCTTCAAGACTTTCAAAGCGTGTAACTGTCTCCTAAAACCCAGATTACTGAGAACTGCTGACATAATAAAGTACATTCACATGAACAAATAAACAGTGGGAAGTGCTTCCTTCTCAGATGGTCCTTTTTAATACGTGTTTTCCCAGGCTTATAAACAACTATAATGTTCTTATCTAATAATTATGATTACCATGTTGGGGAGTGTCTTACAAGATTCTCACAAGCATTGCTATATATTATTACATTTAATTCTTCTATAACCACCTATGTTATCCTCATTTTGCAAATAAAGAGAATGAGGGTGAAAGATTGATTAACGTGCCCCAGGCCACCTAATCATAGAACTGGAACTCAATCCAAGCCCAACTGATTCAAAGGCCTGTGCTTGTTCTACTAAGTCCTGGGAGGGTAAAATAATGGAATAGTCCAGGGGACGGAAGTTGCTTTTCAGCTAAGTTTGTTCCAAGAATGGGAAAGGGGATAAGGAGGTAACCTGTAACCCTGTGGCACTGAGGCCTACAACTGCCTTAGAGCAGCCTGGGAAGTTTCCTTCACTCCATCAGGAGGATGAAGGAGGAAAAGGAGGAGCAAGTTCAGGAGTCTGGGAAACCTCCCCTTTTACCCAGGGTCTGAAGCTGACACAGAATGAATAGGTGCACAATGAACAGAGAAAGACTTAGTAAGCATCTTACATGCACAGAAGAGAGAGGGCAGTAGTGCAATGCCTTGGGAAAGCAAACAGACTTCCCCATTCCTCAGACCCTCTGGGATATGTGAGCTAAAATTATTTTCATCATACTTTATCATTATTTCACTTATTCACTCTTTTTCTTATGCACACACAGGGGAGTTTTCCCAGAGGCTACATGATAATGTGATATTGCAGATATTGCAACAATGCAGTTGGCAGAAGCAGATATGAAAATCTATCATTCTTCCATTATGTCTAAGTTTGAAGAGGTAAGTGCAAAAGGTTACTCTTCTTGCTAACTTTTTTGTCTTTTGACTCTGGAAAATAATAGTTAATCTTCTTAAATTTATTTTATGCAAATGTGAAATGAGTTTATTACTCTTCTAAATGAACTAAAATATTTTTATTTAAATTTCTCAGTTTTAATTTCTAATGCATAAATATCAATGGATCAATCTGACATAAACAAAAACTCTTTGGGAGTCTCAAAAATTCTTAGGAGTGTGGAACTATCCTTAGATGAAAAAGTTTAAGATTTATTGTCTGATAGAACCACTTAAAGATGACTACTTGATAAAACTCTAGATGTTTCCCATAATATCATTCCATAATATCTCTCCTTTTCATCTTAAGCCCAAGTGAAAGTTTTCTGTTTCCCCATCATCATCTGCTCAACGGCAGCCAGTTCTCAGGGCATATATATCACTTTTTGTTCTTTTGCAAACATATCTGATTTGAGTTATAAGCAGGGTCCACAACTTGTCATAAACCATGTTGACCTGTCCCTCCTCAACACAGATGATCTCTGCCTTTTAACCTGGTTTTGAACTACTCATTCTCCTCCAGGAAGCCAATAATCATAAAAAGACTTTGAATTTTCACACCATTTCTAGGGTGACCCTTGTGGAGCATTGCCCTTGCAGCTCTATTTCTAAATTCTGTTTCTCTTCTTTAATGATTCTGCAAGGTCCTGTATTTGCATGAATTGAGCATTTCTATAAATAAACTCTGGAAAGCTTAACCTGTGTCAAGGTGATTTAGATAGCAGAAGGGGTACCAAGAAAAAATGGCACATCCCATTCTGTTAGCTTACAAGCCAAGAATGTGTGTGATTTGGGAAGAAAGGATGCCGTTGCTGTGGACACTGGTATCTAATAGACGGGATCTATTGGAGAAGTTTCTTTTGCCTTAAATTGGTGTCTAGGGAAATAAACCTAAAAAGAACCATAAGACAATTCTAAAGACATATTTTTTAAGCTAACCACAAGAGTACCTTCCTCTAAAGTACAGGTTCTTTTGGATACAGAGTGTAATTACTTAACATTTATGATTATCCAACTGGTATCCAGGTGTCTTAGTCAACTTTGTTGCTGCTATGACTAAAAGAATCTGATCAGAACATTAGAGGAGGAAAGGTTTATTTGATGGCTCACAGTTTCAGAGGTCTCAGTCCATAGAAGACCAGCTCCATTCCTCAGGGCTTGAGGTGAGGCTTGACATCATAGTGGAAGAGTGTGGTAGAGGGAAGCTGCTCACATGGTAATCAGGAAGAAAAGAGACAGAGAGACTCCAGTTAATATATATATATATAATATATATGATCCCACAGCCACTCCCCCAATGATCACTTCCTCCAGCCACACCCCACTTGCCTCTAGTTACTACTCAGTTAATTCCACCAGGAATTAATTCAGTGATTAGGTGAAGGCTACAATCCAATCATTTCTCCTCCTTGCATTATTTCACACGTGAGTTTTTGGAGGACACCACATCTAAACCATAACACCAGGAAAACCAATTATTCACCCCAGCAAGCCATTGCCAGTTAGGAATTGCATATATTGGCTCCTCCTTAAGATTTGCTCTTTCACTGATTTCTGAGATTGCAGTTTCTTTGTATTTCTTCTAAATTTTTCTTATTTCTCATTGGTCTTTCTTCCATAAATATAAACATTCCTCAATATTTATTCTCTACTTCCTCCTCCTTTTTTTCTTCTTCTTTCTTTTAGTACTGGGGATTGAATCCAGGGTCACTTAACCGCTGAACCACATCCCCAGACCTTTTGATATTTTATTTTTGAGACAGGGTCTTGCTAGGTTGCTTAGGGCCTCGCTAAGTTGCTAAGGTTGGCTTTGAACTTACGATCCTCCTGCCTCAGCCTCCCACATTGCTGGTATGACAGGCATGTGTCACCATGGAGAAAATATTTATATCTGCTATTAATTAGTTGTTTTGTCCAATGCTTAGATGCTTCTTGGAGAATGCATCTCCAGCCACGTAGTGAAGATGGGCTCATCATTTCAGTCAGGACATAAAAGATTCACCTCCAAACTGCCACAGGGGCAAGAATAGGAAAACATGTCACCAAAGGTCACCTCTGCAGAGAACAGACTTGCTGTGCAAAAAAAGGAAAAGGAAAAACGAGACTGAGCTCTTGTACCCCTACTTTCCTGGGGTCAATCTGCCCCTCCCTGCTTCTTGTTTCCCACCAGACTTTCCAAAGATGTTTCACTTAACAAGAAGCATTTATTACTGTGGACATTGAACTGATGAAACAAAACATGGAAAGTCAATGTCTATATTTTTTTAAAAAAACCATTTCCATATTTAAGTCAACAGTTGGGCAAAAAGAAAAAAAATACTTTAAAGGACAGATTGAGCAGCAATTATGCTGTAAACATGAGACATTTCTAGATCCACACAAAATTGCTATGGACACTATCCCAGGGGGTGTGGCAATGGGGACTAGAACCACATGTGGGAATTGAATGACACCACACAGAACTTCCTCCGCAGTGGAGGGTAGCTGTAGGAACCACTGAGCCGCCATCTCAATCCACTTTTCATTTATTATAACAGAATTGGTGAACTGTCCTGAAACCCACGCTCAGAAACAGACTTGGCAGACAAGGTTAACTTATGTCTTTGTTTTAAACATTTAATAATTAAAAGGCTCTGAGAGTAGCAAGGCTTCCCAGGTGATCTCTGACAGGCATGTCAAGGGCATTCTGTGGGCAACTCCAAGGCAACTGCTTGAAGACTTTGCCAGATAGCAAAAAACACTGCTGATGGAAAATGTGACCCTCAACACATGGGCATGTGATGGTGGTGACTGCCATCTGCGGAGAGGAAGTGAGAGGAAGTGAGAGTGGGGATGAGTGGATTTCTGCAGCCATAACCTGGAGGACTGAGACCCGAAATGGAAATTTAATGTCAGCATCCCTTCCTGCCACCCTCCCTCTTAAAATAAGGCTGACATGTACTGAATAAATTCACTTTAAATTCCCTGTGGCACACACCTGTAATCCCAGTGGCTCAGAAGGCTGAGGCAGGAGGATCATGCATTCAAAGCCAGCCTCAGCAGAAGTGAGGCACTAAGCAACTCAGTGAGACCCTGTCTCTAAATGAAACACAGAATAGGGCTGGGGATGTGGTTCAGTGGTCAAGTGCCCCTGAGTTCAATCTTGGTACCCTCCCCCCCCAAAAAAAATTTAAATAATCTCTTTTTCTCATACTGGAATATGAAAGGTTAAAAAACAAAATGTTTTATAATCCTGACAACAGAGGAAAAAGTAGCTTTCCATCCCCTCCAACAAATCACTGTTTCTTTATGCATTTTCCTTAGAAATAATTCTATGCTTTATTCACAGAGAATCATACTTGACTTGAGATTCCAGGGTATTATTTGGGGTGGGAAAAACTGGCAAGTGAAGCATGAAGCACCACATTTTTGCAATTATCTCTCTTTTGGGTCCCTCCTCATGTGTTCCCCAGTGAAGGGCAGAGCTGAAATGCTGGGCTGAGTATCCGAAGAAAGAACTTAGCAGCTCTGCTGGTGGAAGTGTGCTGATTTTAAAAGGCAGTAAAGAACCTCAGGGATAGAGTTCTGTAGATTCACTTAATTCTCACCAAAAAATACAGCTGGGTACTGTTGATCTTAATGCTACTTAAATCTATAAAAATATTTTATTCAAACTATAAATAGTTTTGCTCCAATTAGCTTTGCGGCTAAATCGTGTTATGTCTGTGCTCTCGGGGGGTGATTTGGACTTAATGGTGACACAGATAGGACTTCCTCCATCCGGTCATGGGAGAAATTATATATAGGGTCAGAGTTTTCTTCCTCCTCTTTTTTTTTTTCTTTTTATTTCTCTTTTTTTCATTGGAATACATGGAAAAACAGATGGAGATTTTAAGAATACAAAATGTATCCAGTCTTCTTTGCTAAGCTTGAATAAAATTGGTTAAGAATTAAAGAATTTATCAACAAATGAAAATAGCACAGAACACATGTGTTGCTGCTTAATTAAAATCTCAAAAAAAATTAATAAACACCAAATGCAGAGGTCTAGATGGAGTCATGCACTTGCACAAACACACACGCATAGTTGAGTGGGGAGACACAGAAGTGGTTTTCATGTGTGTTTGTGTGTGTGTGTGTTCATTAGTGCCTCAGAGATGTAAGGACCTACATCAGACAATGTTTGTGGCAGTCATATGTGTAGTTGCCTACATTTAAAATGCAAATCTGATCGCTGGGGTATTGAAGGCTGGGTAGGAAATACCATAGCCCTGTAGCCTTATTTTCAAAGGGATCTTTGCTATTTCTATGGTGCTTTGGGGAACAAGAGTGAGTTTTACCAAGGACTGGAAGCTAGGCTCAGCGTCTTGGACCTCTGAAGAGATTAAATGGTGGGAGATGTTTCCAAAAATGGCTTAAAGCCAGGGAATCAAAGAGATAAACAGGAACCACACACAAGTATGAAAGTCAGATGCCAGTCCTTCAGATGAGGGTCAGGAATCATGTTTGAAAGACTGGTACAAATTATAACTGGAGGCTAGGCCAAGAATCAGGAACCAAGGAGATTAGGTGCAGACAAGAATTGCAGTTCAACGTAGACAAAAGATGGAATATGAATGTAAATGAAAAAATGGAGTACAATTGTCTTGTACTTGTGTGTTTCTGTAAGAAAATATCTGAGCTTGGAGGATTTATAAAGAAGAGAAATTTCATTTCTCAATGTTATGGAAGCTGGGAAGTCTAAATTCAAGGTGAAGATGGAAGGGCCCCAAAGAGGCAAACTCTCTCTAAAGCCTCCTTTATAAAGACATTAATTCATACATGCGGATGGAGTTCTCATGAGTTCTCACTTTCCAGGAGGCCCCGACACTTAACAGAATCACAATGGGGTTGCTTTTCGATAAGGATTTGGAGGGGCATCCAAACCATAGCAGCCATGCCAGAGCGTTGAAGGTGAAGACTGCACA